GTCAAAGTATTCACAAAATGCAGGTTAGGAAACAGGTGTGGTATTCCTTCCCAAAAGGCACAGCTTCAGTCTGCTCACAAGAAAACACCACACAGTCCCGTAGTAAAGGACATTTTAGAAGTCCCTGATCAGTACTCTTAAAAAGTGTCAAGAGCATAGCTGAGGAGGAGAGAACGCATCTGTCCTAGACTGAAGACATCAAGGAGATATGACAGCTGCATGCGAGGTGGACTGCAGGCCAGTCCTGGAATGTGGAAGGACATCAGTGGAAAAACCACAGAGTCCAGCAAGCATCTGGCGCTGAGCTCCCAATGAGGCGCCCGGGACAGCTTCTTAGTTCTGATCACCCCAAAGTTGTGCATCAGGGGAAGCAGGGGCAACAGAATGTACCCTGCTGTGTGACTTCTCTGTGAATCACGGTGTTTAAACCTGAATCGCAAAGCAAGAGGCGGGTGTCAAGTTCACAGGCTGTAGGGCAATGCGATGCCTCTGCCCTTCTCTTCCTAAAGCATCTCGTTCAAGTCCACGATGAAGCCTCTGATGCCAGCAACTCAGCAGTGACTGCACCATCCAGAACACAGTCAGGAAAGCCTGAGGGGCCCTGATGATGGCTGCCACCTTCCCAATTCAGCGAACCTTCACACCTGTGGGATGCACACATGTGTGGCGGGGACAGGAATAGCACCGCTACCCAGAGGTGGTCCCATCCTCCCACCTGGAACTAATCCAAAAACAGGTTTTAATGACAGCTAGAAATAATTTAGAAATAACATTTGTAAAATTCTTTACATAGGCACACGCTGATTAAATTTGAAGTTTCAGAAAAATTGATGGTTTTCCAGAAAACTTTAGGTCCACTAAATACACTTGAGAAAAGATAGAAAATATCTGTCTCCAAAAATTACTTTCAAAAACAAATCATAAATCTAATACCCAGCTCTTGATTTCTAATATCATTCTGCAATACAAAGGAATCCACTGTTCTTAGAGAAATGGCTAGATCTAGGACAGCACATGCCTGGAGCGTTTCATAATGCCAGGAAGTAGGAAATGCTCCCAAAAAAGAGAAAGAAAACCCACAAAGCTAAAAAGGCATGGAGACAACTGAAAATACTTTCCAAAACCATAACAACAGGAGCAACAAAATGAAGTCATATTTAGAGTGAGGACCTGAGACATAACACTAATATCCAGGAGTCCACACTGATACGAGTAAACAAGGGGGGAAGAGGAGGTGAGTCTCCCACACAGAAGAATTGTAACGTATGCAGCTCCCCTGCCCAAGCTTTCTCCCAGAGGGCTGAGCTGCCCTTGGTGACTTTCTTTCAGAATCCGGTGGACAGGTATAGTTTCACAATGCAGAAACCCTGCTAACACCGCTTTGGCCAGGGGGTCAGGGTCGTCATGGTGAGCTGGACTCAGAGTGCAGACCGTGATAGCAGGGGATAAAAATGCTATTCATCTTTGTGGCCCCTCTCCAAGATGCAGAACTCCGTTCCACTCATGAGAGGGACCTCAGGTGAACCCCTATAAAGGGACATGCAACAAAACCCCTGACCAGTTTCACCTTGAAACTGCCAAAATTATCAGAAAAATAGGGGACCTGAGTAGCTATGACGGTCAAAAAGAGCCTGAGGAGTCATGACGGAGACATGATGGAGAAATACAGTGTGGGATCCCGGGCGGGACACTGCTGTCATAGTGGGGACCCAAAATACATGTTCTGAGAAGCGGCTCACTGTGTTGAAGATGTGAGTCGGTGGGATCTGGGGAGTCACTGGACCAGGAGAGCGCTCGCTTCACCAGCTGATGGGCCCACTGGTAAGATCGTATCTGCTGACACGAATGCAGATGGCGCAGACTTAGTGGGGCCTGGCTGAAGGAGTATGGCATGGGCCCATGCCCTCGGGGTCTGTATCTGATGCTTGGCCCCCTCTTTCCCGGCTCTGCTTCCTGGCTGCCCAGAGGTGAGCAGCTGCTGTCCACCACGCCCTTCTGCCCTGATGCTTCTGCCTTGCTGCAGGCCAAACCACAGTGGAGCCAGCCAGCCAGAACTGAACCCTCCAGCATCAGCAGCCAAAACAGACCTTTCCTCGCTTACACTGCTGTTCTCAAGTGTGAGTCACAGCAATGAACAGCTAACTAACAGTTTAGGTAAAACCTGCAGAGATCTGAATCAAGAATGGAGCTTAGCTAATGGAAGATATCAATACTGGTTCATTAATTGTAGCAAATGTACCATTCTAATGGATGCTATTAGCAGTGAGGGAAACCAGGCATGGGATATATGGGAATACTGTTATCTTTGTAGGGCTCCTATAAACCCAAAACTGTTGTAAAATACAAAATTGATTCAGAAAAAGGCCACAAGTTAATATTAATAAATCTCTAAGTAGCTATTTTGATAGTATCAAGGAAATTATCATTAATCACTTTAGAGAGCACAGAAAAATACTAAAAATTTTTTCTCCTTTTAATTATTTAATATAAACTAATACCAACATTTGGTAGCAGCAAATACACATAAGATAGGCTGACACATGAATCCTAAAATAGTGGCAAATTGAACTAAAAGGAAAGAGCATTCCAATAAAATATAATGTGCAATTTAAATTAAAATTTCTATTGCTAAAATATTAACTTCTCACTTCAAAAGATCAAATATTACCAAAAAAATTTAAATAGATTTAAAAGGCCCTTGATATATTTCAACATTTATGACAGGTGAAGAATTTTAACAATGCAGAAATTTTAAAGTTTGGCTAACATGATCAATATCTATTTTAAATCAGTTAAGCATGATTCCTAACTCAAGCGGTATTCTCACGAAGTCAGTCATCAGACCATTATGGCCTGAAAGTTCTCTGATATTTACCATGCTTCTGGAGATTGAATATAAGGTATTATACAACACAAACCAGGTGAGGTCATTGGCACACACTTATAATCCCAGCACTCTGGGAGGCTGAAGCAGGAGAATCGGCCTGAGCAACTTAGTGACTTAGGGACACCTTTCTCAAAAAAAAAAAAAAAAAAATGGGCCAGAGACATAGCTCAGTGCACAGGGCCTGGGTCCAACGGGGGAGACAGGGTAGAGCATTGATTACTTACAACAACTACAGAGAATGTGCAACCTAAGTTGATGAATCAGCTGAAAAAGAAAATGCAATATATATATATATATATATATATATATATATACATATATATATGTATGTATATATATATATGTGTATATATATATATATATATGTGTGTGTATATATATACTTATATACCCATGCAATATAGAGAGAAAATAGGATATAATGTAGGTGAAATCCCCTATCTACATCATGGAATATCACTTAGTCTTTAAAAAGATGAGATCTTGTCATTTGTGACAATGTGGGTGAACCTAGAGGGTGCTATGCTACATGAACTAAGCCCGATACAGGAAGGCAAATGCTGCGAAGATCTCACTCACATGTGGAGTTTTAGAAGTCGGTCTCACAGGAACAGAGTGGCCTGGACTTTACCAGGGGCTGGCGAGACAGACAGATAGGGAAAGGGGAGATGTGGGTCGAAGGGCATGAAGTTTCAGTTGGCGCAAGAAGTCCTCTTAAGCAAGGAATAAGCGTCCTGAGTGATGGGCAGGATGGTGACCACAATAAACAGCACACACTGCGTATTCCAAAATTGCTAAAATGTGGCTTTTAAATGTTTTCACGGCAGAAAGATGTGTGCCAAGTGACAAATTCATCAATTTTCTTCAATCTTTCCATAGTGTAAATATGCAGCACAACACACTGAACTCTTTACACACGTACAGTTCTAATCTGCAATTAAGGACAACATCTGAAAAGTTTTCACAAAGAAAGAGAGCGAGAGAGAACAAAAGCTGGGCAGTGAGGGAGACAGGATCGCCCCTTTTGGGCAAAGACCACGCCAGGAAACCCAGGAGCAGGGTGAGAAGAACTAGACTCCAGCCAGTCCCACATGTTGGAGTGCAAGAAATTCTCAGTGCAAAGCAAACATGTGCACCGCGGTCACCTCTACACCGATGCTTCCTTCCAGGTGTCTGCTGTGCCACATGCCCATGTGGGCCTCTGTGTGCACCTCAGGCCCTGCCCAGGGACCCATGTCATGCATGTGACCTGGCTCCAGGGCCAGGGACGTCAGGACCGGCCACTCAGCCAACTGCAAGCACACAAGCGGCTTGGGGGTGCCGCCTGTCTGCTCCCACCCTCTGCTGCCCACTGAACACCCTGGCAGGCCGCTCTGCACAGCCCCGCGAGCCTTGTGGCTAAGGTGCACACGCTGTTCAGCTTTTTAAGTGGTCTTTCAAGGCCCTATCCAAGAGAGCAGACAGCAAAGCCTCTGGAGTAGGTAAAAAAGAAAAGTCGAAGAGTGCAAATGCCTGCTGTAGTGGAAGACCACAGATGTTCAAAGTACTCAGCCAAGGGCACCTTGGAGCCCTCTAACATTTTCTGCTTTTTCCTCAAAACTGGTAATCAATAAATATCCCTTTTACACAGCTTGATGTAAACTTGCTGAGCGGAATGGAAGCACTGTCAGGCTGAATGCCTCCCCCAGCCCTGTTTAAAGTGACTGACCCTCCTGGTCACTGGTCAGTCCCTGTCCCACCAGAGACGAAGGTGAGGCGGGGCTTAGTAGCTCCTCCAATAGCTGCCTCTGAAATGTGAGAAACTGGGGTGCTAGGTCCATCCTGGGGGCCACCCCTCAGTCGGCCCATGACCTGGAAGGCCACAGCACCACAGCCAAGATGCAGGCAGACGGTCACAACCCCGGGGAAAGAAAGACCCTGCGCCCAGAGGCTCCAATTAGGAAGTTGGCATTGCCTCAATCAGCAACAAAAACACAACAATTATATGTGTGTGTACACACACACACACACACACCCTGAGGCTGACGCAGAACAGTCTTGCTATGATCAGGAGAAACAGAACTTGGCTCGGCCCTGGCAAGTGTTCTTGATCCTCCAGACAAAAATAGAAAGGGAGCAGCTGCTTGGCTGCAGCAGGAGAGGAAGCGGCTGGCAGCCGCACTGGCTGGGGACCCATCATCGGAACTGGGTCAGCTCAGCTCTGTGGAGAGAGCACAGCGCCAGCCTGCAGACAGACGCAGCACAGAGCCCGGAAGCAGCGGGCAGCCTGGGGGCGGCAAGGGCAGCAGAGCTGGGCAGCAATCAGCTGCGGCTGCCAGGCCCGGGGAGAACCAGGGTGGGCGGAGAGAAGTTCGCAGCTTGGACACGCCTAGAACCAAGGTGAGCCGCCTCTCTCACTACTGCTACCCCTGCAGGTCCCTTCCCAGTTTTTCTCCACAATGAAATAAAACAAGATCCTTGTGCTAGGTCCTGAATAAGCTGTTAAAAGAAGGAACCCAAGGTTATCAGCTCTTCACCACCCAGCCAGGGCCAGAAGGCAGTCCTATTACACACACACACACACACACACACACACACACACTCATGTGCATTGACAGATACACACCTAGACACATGCATACCGCCCCCTCATACACTCACAAGCACACATAGGCTCGTGCATGAACACACAGATATTCACATACACAGATGCTCAAGTACACACATATGTGTGCACCTGCAATACACATTCACACAAGCACCCACACAGACATTGTCACACGCTCACAGTGTCACACTCATGCACACCTATGCATGCACTCAGTGCTTTCCAAGTGGAAGACACAACTTGAAACTCAAGACAGATAAGATCACATCTTCTCAGCACACAGTGTGATCCAATAAATCTTCTAAGAAAAGAACATGGGACACAGGGGTCGGAAAGTCCCTTTCTCCCCTCCTTTAGGCCTCTGTTACTTTCTGGGGACACGGTTTGGATAGTGAGACCTGGGGAGAGACAGATGCCTTATGACCAGGAACAGTATGAATTTAAGGATCTTAGTGGATCAGGACCTCACCCAAGGAAATAAGGGACGGCGCTTGGCAAACTCAGAACTCAGGAGCTTTATGCTCCGAGACAAAAAGGGTTTGAGAGACCTTGCATTTCCCTTTTTGGCAGCCTGGTCTCAGGGAGAAGCCATCCAAAAAGGCTGATTCTTCCCTGCTAAGCACCATGACCACAGCAGCCTGAACAGCAGGGAGTGAACTCTGCCCCTCCCAGCCCCATTCATTGGCACCTGGTGCCATGTATGCTCCACAAACAAGAAGGTTAAGGGGGCAAGGAGTCGGAGGGCTTCCAGTGCGTCCAGACTCTGCCACCATCGGCATCTCCCAAAGGGAACAGAGGGATCAAACCCGCATAGCAAAGGCATATAATTCCTTTCTCCAAACTCTAACTTGATACGCAGCTGATGCCAATATTCTTTCCTTCATGTTAAGGTTTCTTTGTGTGTTACTTTCATGTCCATTCATAATTACACATTTGACAAAACGTACCGATGGTGGGCTAAGTAGCAGCACCATTAGGTACACAGTAGGGAATTGCTGATATCCCCTCGCAAATGTGCTTCCATTTCCTTCATAAGTTCTGAGGCCCAGACGGTTTCATATTTTTCCATAAAGTTTGCCAGTTTCCAAGCCATTTTAATAGCTTTCTCCCCTCCACAATGTCTCTTGTATCAAAGGAATCAGCGTTTGGTGAGAGCGGTTTTGTGTCGTTCCCTAACCCTCGAAGAGAGACTGTATCATATACATATTTGTAGGAAGCTCGGTACTTAACTGACATCAGTAACCAGCTGGTCCCTCCTTATTAGTTGAATGAATAATGACTCATTTAAAAAGAAAGGGGGTCAGGGATCCTGTGGGAATCTCCTGGGAGTCTCCCCAGGAAAGCCCAGGAGGGATAGGAATGGGTTCTGGGCAGCCGCATTGTTAGTCCTCATGCAGAAAAGAATGGGAAGAACTTGCTTAGCCTGGAGAAAGACCAGTGCAGAGTGCGAATCCAGTGTTATCAACAGCGACTGTGGCTGGAGTGTGACTCAGTGGGAGAGAGTTTGCTTAGTATGCACGAGGCCCTGGGTCTCATACCAGCAAGAAAACAAACAAACAAAAAGCTATTTTGGTCCATATAAGAATGGCACATAAAACTATATATTAATTATTTGTCAAGTTCCAAGATGGGTGACAGAATTAGAACTCTCTTAATAAGATACAAGAGGCATTACCCAATTTTTAAGTTTCATTATCATGTGCCTTAAATACCATTAATTGAAATCTTACATTTAACACATTGAGAATAAGTCTGAGTTTCTTATCAGACTGATAGAGGAGGTATAAACCCTGTTTCATGCTATTCAAAACTAGAAAGAGAGCAATAATCAGCTTGTAAAGGATGCTGGATGCTGGGGAGGTAAAAGATTCCGTGCAATGTGTGTTCCTCTCGAGCATGCATTCCTGAATGAATAATTCATCTATTTTATAAAGCTGAATTCATGAGCATTTAGCATCTGGTCACTTATGATTGGTATAACTGACTCAAGTTGAATCAAATTATTATGCAAGCAAAGGGTTGGTGTGTAAGAAACATAACACAAAGAGATAGAGACTGTCCCAACCCATGATCTGGGGACGAAACCCAGCCTGGTAGCCACCTGCCCTGCCTTTCAACCTTTCTGTCTTACTTTACCATCAACGCCGATCTCAGAAACCTGGCCAGGAATGCAGCATGGAATCAAAATTCAGTGAAGGCCTTTAGAACAAAGTCGTTCCCTAAATGACGGTTCAGGAGAACAAAGGTGAAGAGAATGTTTCCAATGATTGTGTCTGTAAACGTGCAAACTGCACAACTTTACTACACAAATTTTGTCTTTCAGGCCTACTGGAAAAAGAAAATGCATTTATGTGAAGAAATTAGTCTCATACCTATTTCCATACCAATTATAAAATAGGAGAACTTAAACCCAGAAGATGCAAGGGATAGATGAATGAGTTGAACGGTAGAAAGCAAAGTAAATAAATAAATTCTGTGACTCACAAAAGAGAAAATAAAAACAGGAAGAGAATAAGAGTTCACCAAGAAGCAAGCCCTCCCTGCAAACCAGCACCATGTACAGGCTGCTGCCAGTTGGGGAATGCCTGACCCCAGCCCCTTCCTGCACCTGGGCTGGGCAAGAAGAGCCAGCCCCACGCCACACACACCATCAGCGACTGGCTGATCCAGAGAAACAAAGGCTGCAAAGACAGCTGTGGAGGTGAGATGCAGTTGGATACCGGTGGTGTCTGGTGTTTCACTGACCTTGCAGGTCTCTGGCCGGTGGTCTGATCACCTACTCGGAGGATAACAGTGCACAGTGTGGCATCTATGGGGATCTCCTTCTCAGGGTGGTAGCCATTATTAATTCCCTATTATCTTGTTTTGAAGCCCTGTATCATTCTCATTGTCTTGTTGGGTTGGATTATATTCTGTTTTGGTTTTTTGAATCTGTTATATCCAATGACATGAACAGCTATGTCAAAGATAGCCAGATATATTCTGGTAGCCATTTTGGACTTACTATTGTCTTGATTTGAAGTCCTTCATTGCATTTATTGTTTTGTTTTTATTGGTTCTGTTCTGTTCTGTTTAGTTTGATTTTTTCTATGTCCAAACATATCTGCAGCTATTTGGAAGAAAATAAGAGGCAATATGGTAATCATTGTTGATTTCATATTGTTTTAAAGTCCTGTGTCACTTATACTGGTTTGTTTTGATTGGTTTTGTTCTGTTTTGTTTTACTTGGTTTTATTCACTTTAAAATAAAAAAATTAAAAACAAACATAGAGCTGGGGATGTAGCTCAGTCACAGAGCACTTCCTGGACATGAACAAGGTCTTGGGTTTAAGGTTTCGCACTGAAAACAAACAAAAAAAAAAAACTTTACGAATCAAAGAAAAATTACAAATCAAGACATAGCTAAGATCACATCTTCTTAACACACAGTGAGATCTAATAAGTCTTTAGGAAAAGGGGCAACAGTGTAACTGGGGGAAAGACCCAAGGATAAAATAAGAGAATTTACAGAAAAAGGAACACAAGCAATTGGAAAGATTCTCAGGAACATTTTCCATTTCTCACCCCACACCCGCATGAGCCAGCTCCCCAGGAGAAGTCAGTTTCTCTTCCTGCCCTGTTGCTTTCCTGAACTGAGGCTCTACATCATCTGATAACGAAGGTGATCTTCTGTCCACGCCCTGCCCAGCTATGGCCTGCTGCATAGCATCAGCTGTTGGGCGCCCTGTTCAGATGCTGCCACCTCCCCGCCCCACCGAGAGTCACAGAGCGGCAGGGGAGTCTCTTTGCTCCCACCTTCCACAGCTCTAGCTGAGACCACCCCCTGGAGGACCAACGCCTGGGCAAAGAAGCTTCTAGGGCTCCAGCCCTTCACCTGACCTTGACCTGACCTCTGGATCACTAATCTTGCCAGCCAAGACCTGAAACACCCAGGAGCAAGAGCATCACCACTCTGGACCGGAACCCACAGTCAGTCAAGGTGATGCGCTCCCACAACCAGAGCTGTTTGTTACACAGCAGTGAGATGCAGTACAGATGCCCAGCTATCTCCAGGCCTTACTGCCTTTTTTGTCGGCCTGGATCACCTCCCTGGGTGCCTGCAGGACTCTGGGCACCCACTGAGGTCTCCCCACTCCATCTACCCTGCACTCTAACTCCTTTCAGAGAACCCCGCCATTCCATGGGCTGTGCCTGTTACTATTTTTCCCCCTTTTTCTATCTCCTCTGACAAAAACACCAGCTCTGTGATGTCGGGGGACTTGGGGTCTTCTCTATTCCCTGTTGCTTCCATAACACCTCGAACAAAGTCCAGAACACAGTAGCTGTTCAGCTATCTAATCAGAAAAGCGTAGAGGGTGAGAGAACAAACCTCATTTACAGTGTCAGCGACCTAGACATCTTTACCCATCACATCACAAACATCTAACGTTTTTGTGCAGGGTGCAGGCAGGCACAGGAAAAACCACTGGCACGAGCATGAGCTGGGGCCAGTCCTGCAGAATGGTTGGTGACAGGACCTGAGGGTTAATGTGCACAAACACACGTGTCAGCAAGGCTATTTCTAGATTTCTATTTCTAGAATGCATCCTGCTGAGATGCTCATTCGTGTGCGAGGCAGCGACTCTGGTTGGAATTCATGGCAGCAAGTGTTCACATGGGCAAACAATTCAAAGTCCACATGTGCTTTAGAAGGACGCCCCTTGAATAAACATGGTGTTTTCCTGCTAAGAAGCACACACATGGCTGCAGAGAATGCGATGGCTCTATATTTATAATAAGATCTGCAATACATTGTTAGGGAATGACACAAGGTCGTAACTGCGCATGTGTTGTGCTGCCCATTGCAGTGTGACTGGCAGAACATCTGTGGAAGGGTACAGGAGAAATATGGACAGCTGTGGTCACTGCTGGCCACCAACTCAGGGCTGGTGGGCAAGAAAGGAGACATTTTGCATTGCACTTCTGATTTAAAGTTTTGCTGTGTTGAACTAATGTGTATGTTTACTTCCCATTGAAATTTTGGAAAAAAAAGTTTCACATATTTTTAAACAAAAAGAAGCTAGAAATACATTTTCTTAAATCTCTTCTATAAAGTGCAGCCACATAAGCCTGTAATTCCTGTCTGCTTACCTTGGTGACAGACGAATAACAGACTGCACGTGATGCCTGTTGCATGGACACTGAGAAGAAAAGAGGCCTTTGGCTATGTCTCCAGAGACACAGGGAGGCCATAAATTCTCACGGCCAAGCTAACCAATGCCAAAGACTTACTGATCCATAAAAGGAGCAATAAATGTGTCAGCAGAATTTGTAGCCACAGATACAGCGCTCAAAGCTGCAGGAAACTTTCCCACTACAATACATCATGAAACATAAGCACTGCCTCTATGCATGGGTACTTTAAATAAACAGCACAGGGCAGGGAGAAGCAGAAACCATATATATTTTCATTTATATTGCTTTGGGAGGTTTTCCTTATCAACATTGTTAAGCTGAATAAGAAAGAAATGTTTAAAATGTATTATATTAAAGACTTCATTGATCTACAAATTTGCATAAACACATACAAGAGCAAAGATATAAACTTTCAGCAGGAAATAGGATATATGGAAACAACTAAGATGCTTGTATCTTTTTCAGAAATCTCTAAGTCATTTTCCTCCTCACTGGGACACAGTACTTGACACCCACAACTTTGTGGAGTAGACCTTTATTTGGGCTTATGGTTTCAGAGGGGTCAGTCTGTAGGTAGCTGGATCCATAGCAGGGGCAGTATGGCTGAAGGGCCCAGCCCAAGAAATCTGTTCATATCATAATGGGCAGGAAGCAGAGAGACAAGGGAGGAGCCACAGAGGGAACAAATGCTTCCGGGTCACACTGTGACCCACCTGCCACAAGGCCCCACTGCCTCACAGCAAGTCAGCTGCAGTGTCACTATGATACAGTCACCTTCCAAAATTCCTGCCTCTGCATGCAGAGATGGGAAGGTCACTCTTGATCTAACCATGGGAAATCTTCAAGGGTTTTGTAGGCAATGAACATCACTCATGCATATATTTTTGATAAAGGACTAAACTTCATTTTTAGGCTAAAAAAGCAAAATTCATACAGTGAAAAAGTTCACAAAATCCTGCTCAAGCAAGCTGTTGCCATGACATTCACATCTATCAGTCACACCCTGAGAAAAAGACACTGCTTCGTGGGAGGGGCTTGTCCTAAGGAGGGTCACAGCCCAGAAGGGAAGTGAAGCCCCAGGCAGCCACCTCTAACAGGGACTCAACATGCTCAAGGGCAAAGAGCAAGAAGTGACTGGGATGGTGCCCCTGGCCACCTTCCTGGGGATGAGTGCCAGCCTGTGCCTCGAGGGATGGAGGATGAGGAGAAGGAAACCCACCCATGTCCAGAGACAGGGGCTGGCAAGGGTCGGGCGGTGTGGGAAGATGGGCAAGGACAGCACAGCCAACGTCAAATGCACCTGATTCCAAATCCCAGGGACTTTCACAAGAGCCAGCAGAGTCGGCCAGGTTCCCCCTAAAGTGTCCCAAACCCTGAACCCCAGGATCTGTAATGTGGCCGGAGACAGGAGACAGGAGACTTGCAGATACAGCTAAAACTCTCAGGATGAGATGATTTTCAACTTGGTGTGTACTCTAAACCCAGTGACCCATCCTTAGGGAAAGGATAGGGAGATTCCAAGCACAGAGACATGAGGGAAGCTCCGGTGAAATCAGAGGCAGAAACTGGAGTCATGAGGTCACCTTCCCAGAAGCACTAAGGACTGGTAGAAGCCACTAGAAGCTTGGAGAGTCGCATGGAACATATTCTCCCTCAAACCTCCCAAAGGAACCAACGCCACCAACTTCAGCCTCCAAAACTGTGAAAGAATAAATCCCTCTGCTGTCTGAAGCCACCAAATCCATGGTAAGTTGTTACAGGCATCACAGTCAACTGATAAACTGTGTTTTTGTGATGACTTTGATACCCTTGGCATCACCCCCACACCCTCCACTTAGAAGAGGCTTGGGAAACACTGAATAAATGACCCCAGGATGGATTGATGTGAGAGATGGATGACTCTGAGGGTAAGTCGAGGGCAGCAGGGGAAAGGTCTCGATGACCTTCGTAAAGTTTGTCCTACAGGATTGGAGAAGAGTTGCAGGATTAAAGGGAAGCCACGGCAGACAATCAGAAAAACTCCCATGGTGCTGGGGAGTGGACCAGAAAAGAAGGTGGCTGGGCCCATGGCAGGATAGAGATGCAAAGAAACAGAGGAGGGTGGAGGCAGCTGGCGTGCACATGCGAGCCTCTAAAATAAAGTGTGTGCTGTCTTAGTTACTTTTCTCATTGCTGAAATACCAGACACCTGAAGTTAAAGGAGGAAAAGTTTATTTTTGGCTCAGTTTGTAGAGATTTCAGTCCATAATTGGCTGGCACCAGGCAGGGTTGCGTGGCTGCGGGATGCCACAGAAGAGACATGTCCATGGCGGACAGAAGGCACCACTTTTGCTGTCCCTTACATTCTGTCCACCTGCCCTTACAGTGGTAGCACTCACACCCAGGGTGGGCCTTTCCCTACCCACTCCCAAACTATGCCAAATCAATCAGTAAATGAACTTGGTAACCCAGGCCCCTGCTGAACAGGCTGCGGTTCACTCGCTGGACCAGGAAAGGAGTGGTTTCCCACGGCCTCCCCACCTGCCCCTGCGTCTCACTGCTCAGACCTTCCTCAGGGGATGCTGGCTTCCCACAGGCTGGTTATGTCACAGCTTGACCAGAAGCCAGAAGACCTGGGTGCAGGATACAAGACTTACTTAGATCCCGGAAGGGACAAAAGGGGCAGCTGTTGGGTGGCAGCTGTGGTGGCCACGGCTAGGGTGCTCCATGGGCAGCCCCAGGGCCCATGACACAGAGGGGCCAAGGAAGCCAAAGGAAGCCACACAGGACTACTGGGACGAGAGAAGCCAAGGAGGGGACTCACTCTCCCACCTGAATCTTCTAGGCTGGGTTATCCCCACTGAGAAAAGCCAAACTGGGCTCTGAGGTCACTGATAGGACCATGCAGGGATTGGGCTTTGATCTCTCTCTCGTGGCCACCAGGCATATGGACTCATTCGAAACCCTCTCAATGGAATGGGAAAAAAGCTGATCCCATCCCCATTTTACAGAGGGGAAACCATGGCACAGAGAGGTCCCCTGAGTACAAGGCCGGGCACCCTCCCAACCACCATGTCAGCTCATTGCTTCTGGTGAACTTTGTGTGTATGA